AGTACAAGTTAATATAAAATAAATACTCGCCATAGAAGCGGCTGTATCGTTTATTGATCGGCTAAATATCTCGATTAATTAATTAAATGAGGAAGCAGCTGAGAAAAAATAACTTTAATGTACTCTAGGTTATTTTGAACACGTATTAGCAATAAGAAACAGTACAAATTAAGCGATTGACAGCTATCTTATTTAACTAAATTTCGTGAATGATTTAAATTCAAAACAAGTGATGAATTATAAAAACAACAATACCATAGAACCATAGAGAAATAAATTAAAGACATATTTTACGATGTTGAAATTATCATGTAACCGAAATAAATCAATATTAAGCGCACTAAGACTTACCGTAGAACAAGTTTTAATTTGAAAACGAAGCGGAATGTCAATCACAGCCAAATCCTGTTCGTGCACCGTACGAAAGTCGACTTTGTGTACACAAGGCATCGCAGGGCAGATGCCAATATCGAAGGTATCCACGACTGGTTGCATAAAGTATTCATTAAGCGCAGCCTGACGGAGCGAAGATAAATCCATTCCGTGAAAGCACTAGTATCAGTGGCAAATGGAGCAGGGAAAATGAAAAACAGAATAATTTTTAGAATACAAGTAAAATTTTTTGACCCGTGAAAATTTTTTCATGCTTAAATCATTCAAAATGTCGAAGAATAGAGGGAGTATCCAAATGTATGAATAAATAATTAAGGCTAAATAAAATATAGGGTAAATTATCTAGGGTCTAACCAGCGTCCCCAACAGAATTCGAAACCAGTTGGGCCGTATGAAACAGAAAAGTTGTCACTCCTTCACACAGCCAAGAGTATTAGGGGGTTTATAAGTCAGATGTGACTTGCGAGGAAAATCAGGCGTCGGGCGTCAATAAGACAAATTTGTATTTGAAATCAAGATTAACAGTATTACTATTTATAGAGTTAATAGGATTTGAAACCATTAGCACATCTTAATCATGAGCTTAAGTCACCTTAGTCATTTAGAGTGTGGGGCCTGATAATGGAATTCCTAATAATGAAATAAGTAAGCCCCAGTCAGGTGGAATGTAATCCAGGCTAGTTTCCTTGGAGGTGATGACGAAACCAATAAGGTCAAGGCTGGTGACACTCTAGGTGAGAAAATGATGCCATAATGACATCAATTCATTACGTTGTGCGAAATTCGACCATTAGTCCCTATACCACCTTAAATGACCCAAGGCCACTCGAATTATTCTATACTTAAACAAATAATTCGGCTTTATTAGCCATTAGATAAGGAAGGATCGATGATAAGCTAACTTATCGGCGCAGAATAGTCCTCATTACTAAACTTTTAAATATTAGGTTGAGAGGATGAGTATATGAACAGGAGTATAATCAATATCTAGATTCGCTTTCATGCCAAACTCCCTTAAATAAATATTTCCAATCGATCACCATTACTCGAATGATTGAAATATGCATTTATTAGCAAGCTTAGCAAAACTATAAAAGTTAGGTAAACTTAGATAAAAAATAAGAGTTATGTTAACAAAGTTGAAGGCAATGCCAGCTTAAATCAAAATATGTTCGAGATTGATTACCTGTTGATACCAAAAATTAGCCTTAGTCTGCTGCTCGGCGAACAAAGCTTCATCACTGAATGGAGCGACGTAAAGGTGCGCTACGGTGGGGAACATCAAACCGGGTTTCTGCAAAGCCTCGAAGAATTTATTTTGGCGATGCTTTCGTTTACTATGTCGATTTCGCCTTGATCCACTCAACAGCTTGTGTGGTGCTTCGCTAGATTGAATAGGTTTAATGGGTTCCTCACTTTCATCTATCTTACGTTCAGCTGCCCGTACTTCATCAGACCGAACTGTAAGATGAGAATCCATATTAAAAGAGATTTGCTCTGAGCAAGGTCGAGTTTTGATTTTGGCTCGTTTATCTGGAAGTATCCCAGTGATTTCGACTCCCTGGCAGTTATTGTTGTTGCTAACATTTTCGTGCTCTTTTACATTGGACTCATTATCACAATTGCCGTTTGTATCATCGCCAGGCAAAGGAGACATCTCGTCAGGTTCAGCACGCTCCATGGACATTCTTTCAGCAGTTGGGGAAGATTTGTATGGTGTTTCAGAATCTCGATCTTCAAGTAGCATTTCATCACCTGCCTCAGTTTGTAATGACATCCTATTGCGTAAAGTATCAGTTTCCTGTTTATTTGGTTCAGCCGGATAGGACTCAAGAGAGATCTTGGGGTGGTTACTCATACCTACAATAGATTTTTCGGTACAATCTTGGCATTCTTCTTCGACAGAATTGGAAACAGCATCTGCGTCATCGGCCTCTAGCTCGTCTACATCTTCTTTATCATTTTCTTCATAAAACTCCTCAGTTTCATCAAATGCAGGTGCCTCGTAATGCTTGGATTGCTGAATTCCGGCTCGAAGATGGCGAGGGGCAAAAAATTTCCGTGCGTGAACGTAAGATTCGAGCATACGTTCGTTGTAAAGCATATAGCCCATTGGCTCAGAAATAATTACATCTACAGGTTCTGGTAGTTCTATTTCTTCTATTTTCCCACTGAATTAGAGAAAGGTTATAGAAAATTCAGTATATCTTAAATCTATTATATATGCGATTAAATTAAACGAGATCAGTTAATAAAACACCACTTAGTAGAAACTAGTATAACTTACAAAGGAATACAACTTAAAAAAATTAGTGATGTAGTATCCTTTATGTCGTTTGAAGAAGCGAATGGAAAGGATTCGTAAATTGGTCTCACTGGAAGTGGAATGGGAATTGTATTAGAGATGTGACTGTAAAATTGTGGAAACAAATCATTGACTCATTGTTCCGCAACCCGGATGAACACTTACTGAGCCTTCGTGGCGACCTTTATTGTCCATGTACTTGGCGATTTGTCGTATAGCTTTGTGTCCTGCTCTGAAGATGTCCGTCACACGACGAACGAAAGCTCAGTAAGGATTCGCCAGGATCGAGGGACGGTGAGCCGAGGACTTATTCGCACTAATATAGTCACACCACCAAGGCAATCCCATCTCGACTTCAGATGAGACTAACTTACGAATACTTTCCATACACCTCTCCAAATGCAACAAAGAGTACTCCAGCATTAGACTATTAAGGGATCCTTTGAAAAACAGATTTATACATTTTAGTTGGCTACGCCTTCTTGATGTCCTTGATGGACTATTAATATGAATAACCTCAACACGAAATTATTATTCTAACTTCTTTGTATAGTGAGCTACTTAGCTATCACTGGAAAATCTCTAAATCATGAACCTAAAAATGCACGAGTTCCCTTGGCTAGAAAAAGATGACTATTGAAATTGAATAGGAAATTATTAAACCGGTACAAATAAACTGGCAAGCTAAACGAGTCTCGAACCAAAATTTAATGTAAGAGGTACTTGGACTGAGGATATCGCAAGCTGAGATTATTCTGCAAGATACATGAACTAACAAGGATGTTGAAAATGACTCATAGGTGGTATTGGGAATTTCATTTTTTTTTAGAAAGACAAGCGATTAAGTGTAGGAATGGTCTAAATATTTGTGAGTGACTGATTTCAATGTAATTACATAAGTGCATCTATAAAATGCCCAAAGTAATTTTATCAATGAATTATCATGAAATGCTAAAGCTACGAAATAGTCTTTATTTTGAAGAACAGGGCTTGGGCTAGCGGGAACAAGTCATCATCAAGAGAAATAATTCTAAATTGGGCACTTATACTACAGTAGACTAGAGTAAGTAATACAACAGGTAAAATGAATTAAGTTAAAAATATTAAATGCTAAACAGAGACTTATTTAAATCTAGAAGTAAAATAAAATGTCTCAAATGGGTAAATGCGACCGAAAGTAAAGAACGGGAACTAACTTAATCACAACTATCCGACCGGCCATTTTATTAGCTTGCACAAGAACGCTGCAATGCCTGGCCATGGATGAGGCTTCAACAGCATAAACACGACGAGCACCTGCTTGAACAGCAAAAAAAGAAAGAATGCCGGAACCCGCACCAACGTCAAGGACTACTTTATCTCGAAAATCAACTATTGAGTTTGCCAATATAGCTCTCTGATATGTCGATGTACGAATGTAATCCTAAATAAACATTTAAATTGACAATAAGTTACATTAATTAGAAGAGGAAAAAAAATAGATGACTACCTGCATCATATTTTGTTGTTGAGATAGATAACTGTAGAATTGAAAATATTGAGCTGCAGA